GGGAAAGACAGGAATTTTTATAAATATTGTTGTTAGGGTAAATGCATTAGCCTTCTCTCTATTTAGATTTTCAAAGTGTATTTGAAAAGTGCTCTCTTTGGCAGTTACTGATTTGCAGTTATGAACAGGATCGACGTTCAGACACTGAGAAAAGGAGACAAAAGAGTAAGAGCAAATCTTCTCAAGATGATCTTCTGAAAAGTGAAAGATATTGGTGGAATCGTGGACAAAAGACAAAAGTTCACAGAACACAAATTTTGGAATAACTTTTGAATTGCAACTCAGTTTCAAAATTGTTTAATAAGGAAGCCATGTCATATGAAGCAAAAATACAATATAATTTTGTTCCAAGAATGCTTCCATACTATTAGATTTTTACCCTTGGATTTCCTTCCACAATGGTATTTCCTTTATAACTCAGTCACAGATCTACTTAAATGCAATAGTTGTGCTATAAACTTTCATTCAAGCTTAGGGAAGGAAAAATGCAAATTCCCATTCATGTATTCCTGTAACAATAGCTACAAGAACAAAAAGCTACCATATGAGGCTGAAAGTTGATTACAAGCTTAGAGTAGTGGTCAAGGAACTGTTTCAGGATTGTCTGCAAATATAAAGGCGAAGATAGTAATGGGCTGCAGAGGCATTAGTAACTGTATGAGGCAATGAGAAACGCAGGAGGAGGAGAAGGGAAAATGAGGCAAGCATCTAGCATGACACCAGCAAACAAAAAAACAAACAAACAAAACCAGACAAGGTGCTCCTGTGACAAATGATTGAATGGAAAGGCTTGATTTTTTTCCTGTGTTCAGCTTCCTCTGCATGTTTGTAAATGACACACAATTGTATTAGAAGATAACTGAATCCTATTATACATTTCCAATTGAAATAATAAGGCATAAAATACTGGCTAAATGATCAAGCAAAAGAAAGGTGAAAATATAATTTTCTACAACTGCCATTCTTATGAGTAAAAAGTTTACATGCTAGCCAGCCACACTAGTGGCTTCCACTGTCAAGCTTTCCTTCTGACCTCTGGCTTATCAGAGAATGACTGACAAGCAGACAAGCTATCTGTGCTGCCCAAGTCATTTGTTGACACGTCCTTTTTCCATTCCTGTCCTGCTATAGGCATCTACCTT